AAATGGATTAGAAACTATTATAGATGAATTAGAAAATAAAATAGATAAATTAGCAAATAAAATAAATAAATTAGAAAATAGAACAAATAGATTAAAAAATAGAATAGATAAAGTAGGAGACAGAATAAATAGATTAGGAACTAGACTAAATAAATTCGAAAATAAAATAGATAAATTAGGAAATAGGTTAAATAGATTAGAAACTATTAGATAAGTTAGAAAATAAAATAGATAAATTGGAAAATAAAATAGATAAATTAGAAAATAAAATAGATAAGTTGGAAAATAAAATATATATTAGAAAATAAAATAGATAACTTAGAAAATGAAATAGATAAATTAGAAGATAAAATAAATAGATTCGAAACTCGAATAAATAAATTACAAACTAGAACGTATAGATTAGGAACTAGAAACAAGAAATCATTGTCCAGGAAGCCCATTGTCGCCGGTAGCCAATCGGAATCATTGAGTCCACAAGAAATTCGTAGCATGCTTTGTAACTGGTATTTATGAGTTAACGAGTAGCCTCCGATACAAAAACCAGAACGAAACGTACGCGATCTGGCGGGATGGTGAATTTTCTGTTTGCCGGTAACTCTGCCGGTGGACTCGAGCACATAATCAACGGCCGACTAATTGGTTTCCAATGGGCACTCGGGCAGCGCGGCGGTAGAAAATTACTGTCATCGGAGGAATTCCACGGACACGTTCGCTCGCGCATAGTGTCGTAAACAGTCAGTTAAACATAGTCGCCTGTAAACAGCGAAGCACACGCGTTCATCAAGCGCACACCGTGCTCGCTCGTCAACAATCAAACGCACATCCCGCGCTCAATCCGTCTTGGACACTCGCTCTGTCATTCGCAGCGGTTAATACACAGTCGTTTCGGCCGGGAACAAGAAGATTTGTGTGCCGTGATCAATTAAGACATCGCGCGGTGTCGGTGTCGAGGTCCGCGCCGCGCCGTTCCGAACCGCGGTTAAACCGCTCACCTCTTTGATTTTCGATATTTTCGTTACCGGACCACGAAATTACTGTTATCGACACCGTTCACCGATTTACCAATTTGCCGTTTTAACCGTAGAATGACTAAATGTTTAATAATCGGACGATAACCGAAGCCGGGTCATATTTTACCCGAAACAAAATTCATTTATTTCGGCATCGAAAGATCTATTTCTCGTCTGATTTTTATTTAAAATCGGATCACACGTTGTCGGTGATTTTTTCTTCTAAAAAGACGATACTATGTCGTAGAATAAATTTATTAGTTAATTTTGTTAACGAAGATTTTATTCATTAGAAAAATAGAATACACAAAACTTTATTACAGAAATTTATTTGCAAATATAAAGTATATATTCTCCAAAACATTGAAAAGATTTAGATAAAAGATGTCAGTTCGCTCTAATTATTGCTATTAATACGATTCAATTTATATAATCAATTTTCACCGATAAAATAACAATAAACGCCGTGTCTTTTTTCTAAGCGGCTTAATTTAAGAAACGAGTCATTTCGGTGGAGGTAGATACACGTGGATCGTCGATGGTTCAGAGGCGTTCACGGAATCAGATCAGCACGAAACGAATCAGAATTGATTAAGAGGTCGGAAAGTGCGGCGTGAACGATCGCGAGAGATCGGAAGAGCGCGAGAGCAGGTGCTGAAGCGACTGTCGTCGAGGGACAAGTAGGCGCGGACTAATATTTTTGCAAAGTTCTGCAACGAGCCGCCATATTTTCCCGCGGAGCGGCTTACAGGAGGGTAAAAAGAGGAGGTGGTGGCAGGGTGCGAAGAGGAGCTTCCGGCAAAGTGGATAGGTAATAACCTTCTTGCCACGGTGAGAAATGATTGGCAATCAAAGTTGGTATTACACAAGGACGACCGAACGAACCCGCGGACTGCGAGTGCATTCGGTCCCGTTTCCAAGAGAGACTCGTTAACCAACCCCTAGGCACGCCTACACAAACACGTGCGCGCTTACACACACACAGGCAGGCAGACACGCGTACACACTTACGGGAGATCCTCCAGCCCCTAACAGCGTCGCCCGTTTTCCTATAGACCACCTTCCACCGACTTCGGCGCTTTCATCCGCCCCCGCGTTTTTCCGTCGTCGCGAAAGTCGTAGCACCTCGACCGGAAACTTGGCCACCGGCTTTTCTTGCTCTGTCGACGAGCGGAAGCCTTTACCCTATTATTCTTCTTCTTCCTCTCCTTCTTCTCGCCCCTCTACGGGAATCGAGAGATCTCGCGGATACCGGACCGATCTCCTTTGTATCGGGCACGATCACCTGATTGATGCCCAAAGACAGAGGCCCGCGATCTTCCGCTACTTCGATGCACCTTTTTCCGGCTGTCAGCATGCTGGGAGAGGACGCGACGATGCCGGGAGACGATGCGAGCGGGCAACATTCGGAGACGGAGCTAAGTTGTCCGGAAAATCGAGCGGTGGGTGTTTTGAAATCGGCCGAGAAGTATGGTCGCGAGGAACGCGGATAACGCGGAATCATAAAGAACGTTCGTAAAGAAGAAAGAGTAACATATAGCGCAATCGAAATGGGCGATCACATTCTGAATCGCGCAAAGTTACTGCAGAAAGGAAAATTGGGAGGGACGATCGCCTGTTTAAGTCACAAAAAGTACATTGACAAAGTGCGATGACAAAGAACAGTTACATTCTTCAACCAGATACAGTAAGGTCGCAAGAGAAATCACATTTTTAGGTCACAAAGAATACATTGGCAAAGTACAATGACGAAGTACAACGACAAAGAACAATTACATTCTTAAAACAGGTACTTTAAAATTACAAAAGATCACATTTTTAAGTCACAAGAAATATATTGACGAAATACAATGACAAAGAACAATTATATTCTTGAAACAGATACGGTAAAATCACAAAGAACAGTCGCATGTTTAAATCACAAATAATATATTGACAAAGTATAACGACAAAGAACAATTACATTTTCAAGTCACAAGATATACATTGGCAAAATACAATGACAAAGGACAATTACATTCTTCAACCATTCTTCTACAATAAAGTCGCAAAGAAAAATCACATTTTTAAGTCATACAAAAATACAATGACAAAGTATAGCGACAAAGAACAATTACATTCTTAAAACAGATACTTTAAAATCACAAAAATAATTACATTTTTAAGTCGCAAGAAATACATTGGCAAAGTACAACGACAAGTAACAATCACATTCTTGAACCAGATACAGTAAAATCACAAAGAGAAATCATATTTTTAAGTCACAAGAAAGAGATTAACAAAATACAAGTACAAAGAACACTTAAATTCCTAAAACAGGTACTGTAAAAAATCACAAAGAATAGTCACATTTTTTAATCACAAATAATACGTTGACAAAGTACAACGACTAAGAACAATTACATTCTTGAAATACATACAGTAAAATCACAAAAAACAATCACACTTTTCAGTCGGAAAAGACATATTAACAAAATACAATGACAATGAGCAATCACATTTTTAAAACAGATACAGTAAAATCACAAAGAACGGTCACATTTTTGTATCACAAAAAATACATTGACAAAGTACAATGACAAAGTACAACGACAAGAAACAATTACATTCTTGAAATTCATACAATAAAATCACAAAGAAAAATCGCATTTTTCGATCACAAATAATATATTGTCAAAATACAACGACGATAAACAATTACATTCTTTCATCTTACAAAATTCCATTCTCGAGCCAGACAAAGAAGTACATTTTTCGATCAGCCGAAGTGCTATTTCAAAAATAATCGCAAAGATAATACATCATTTTATTGCTCTTTGTTTTCTGCAAACGCTGCGCAATCATTTATCATCCCGTTTCCAATGAGATGTGCCCAGGGCTGTTCCCAAAGTTCGTACAAAACTTTGTCGTCTCTCGACCACGATTTTCGGGCGAATTCGGCGGCGCGCGACGCAAAAGGGTCGGGAGTCGATGCAAAATACTCTGCCCCCGATGTCTTCGGGCCGTGTTTCCACGGCTCCCAGGTGATTAATCGGGCCGGGTCCTCGCACCATCGGACTACCTTGTGCCAGGGCCGACTCGTGTGCCCCGGGAACAGAAGAAAACAGGGCCGAAGTAGCCCGGCGCGGCGCGGCGCGTCGATTTTTTGCGGGGATCGCTCCGTCATCGCAGAAGGCGGCACCTCTGATCTGCCTGCGGATCTGCCCGCGGGCTTCCCATAATCACCTGCGATCCTTTCTCGCGCCGGGGGCGATCTCACCACCATGAAAACAGACGGGCCACGGGAGAGGGGACAGAGACCTGTCTGGAATCCGCGGCCTCCGTCGTGTTCCGGCAAGGTCGCGGACTCCTTTTGCTCGTTCCATCGCTCGCCCCACCCCACCACCCCCCTCTGTTTTCCTTCCTTCACTTCGTTCGCCTTCTCCTTCTCGCCTCTTTACCGCACCTCGGCCAGGGACCACCTTTCTTCCACCGGCCACTCGTCTCCTTCCGTCGATTTTATTGGAGCGTCGCGATTTATTGCCGTAATTGAATGGCTCTGGACACTTGTTACCTTCGCTGACAGCTACGCCGAGCTGTCCAGAGCTGTCTAGGACTATCTAGAGATGTCTATAACTATCTAGATCTGTCTTGAACCATTTAGAGCTGTCTTGAACTATCCGGTGCTATCAGACGCTATCTAGAATTGTTTCGATCTAGAGCGACGAAAACTGGCCGAAACGACGTGAATTTTTCTTCGGCAAATGTTTAGAGGGGTCAGTTCGCTGTACAATGATTAAAATACTGTTTCTTCAAACTTTGCTATCGCTTGGAATAAAAAGGAATGTAAAAACAACTGTCGCCCTTTCATTTTATACGTTTATCATTATTATTTTTTATATCTTATACTTTATACTTTATGCTTTATGCTTTATGCTTTATGCTTTATGCTTTATGCTTTATGCTTTATGCTTTATGCTTTATGCTTTATGCTTTATGCTTTATGCTTTATGCTTTATACTATTTATCACTTAAGTTACCAAGAAGTACCGAATGCATTTCTTCAAATTTTCATTACAGGCACAGATGAAAAAGTGAGAAAACAAGAGCTTTTTACACTTTCTTTTATTCCAAGTAATAGTAATAAAAAAATAATAAAATAGTAATAAAATACTAAATAATAATAATAATAATAATAATAATAATAATAATAGTGATAATAGCAATAATAGTAATAATAGTAATAATAGTAATAATAGAAAATAATAGTAATAATAGTAAGAATAGAAAATAATAGTGATAATAGCAATAATAGTGACAATAGTGATTATAGTAATAATAGTGATAATAGTAAATAATAGTAATAAATAGTAATAATAATAAAAAATAGTAGTAGTAATGAAAATAGTAATAATTAAAAAAAAGTATTTCAGTTATTGCACAGTAAACTAGTTTCTCTAAAATTCGCAAAAAAAATTCAAGTCGTTTGGTCCAGTTCCGAGAAAAGTTATACCGTTTAAAAAATTGTCCACCTACATGTATTTGTCCCTGACTGTAAGTGAACCGAATATATCTTCCCCTCTTAATAATTTTTACATGATTTCTCAGGCTAGTTTCGTCTGGCCCAACCCGAGACCCGCCGATTTCTGTCGAAAATGCACGAAATCTGCGATCGCATCTGCTATCACGGCATTTCAAGGGCTCGGGATATTTCGTTGGACACCCCGTAGAGTTGTAGTCGTAGTCGTAGGAACTCGCACGAGCAAACCCTCGCGAGATATTCGACACTAGAAGCCATGTTACGCAGTCGGCGTCGCTGTCTCCGCTGTCGGTATCGCTCGACGTTCACCCTTCATCATCGTCAGCTTTAACCGGTCGGTGGAAGTATCGATCGCGGTATCGGGTTCCAACGGTGGCCTGCCCACGCGACAAGTTCCTTTCTTTCGGACTCGGGCCGATCGCCGGGTCCGAGACGACTCGGGACCATTTATACTGATACTGATCTTCTGGGTCCGGCCGACGCCGATTGCGACTCTCGAGATTCTCTCTAGCATTCTTTTCTTGATTTCCTATAATTTGTCAATCTTACAGTTTTATTTTATTTCCGTATTTTCTTTGGTCTCATTTTTTTTTATTTCTTTTATTTTTATTATACCGTTTATTTCTCGTATGCACTAAATGGAACAATATTGCAATATAAATTTATTATTTATAATATATCCATTTATTGTTTGGATGAACAATAGAAGGAAGGGAAAAAATAAAGGAAATGCGAAAACCAAGATAATAATGATAAAGAGTAGAAGATTAAATGGCAACAAAAGAGAAATATATATGTAGAAATATAATTATACAAAAATTATTAATAATATGTAAATATAATTATAAAATAATAAATATAATTATACATAATAATAACTAAATAATTATTAATATGTATATTATATTATTATATATATTATATTATATTATATATAATTATTAATAATATTATTGATACTATAAATTAATATATATTATCATATATGTATAATTATTAATATAATATAAATATTATTAATATTATATTAATATATATATACTGAGAGATTATGATGTATGTAGAAACTATGAAAACGTACTTTGCAGAGTCGTAACAGCTTTTTAACGTTCCGCGCGTAAATGATAGGCGCCGATAGCGGCGAAATCCTCGTTTCACCGGCCGTCATTCTCCGTCGATCGCGCGCCATAATAGTTTGTTAATTAGCTAAATTTAAAGAGGCTGATAAATTTAATTCGCATTTGAACGGCCAATTAGCCCGAAGATTAACGCGAGCAGATTACGCGGGGCCA